TATTTGATAATTGAAATTATCTCTTTATCATTATTAGATTCTTGAATTGATCAGTTAAGGATTAATCTTAAATGACTAAGTAATAGGCGATCATATCAATAAAAAATTAATAAAACTAAGAAGTAATTTAACTTTAGGAGTTAATAAGATCAATCTATTACCTAGACTTCCAATTAATTAATTTAATTTAACAAATTTAATGTTCTTTAATGCTCTTACTTGTTTGTTATCTATAATTATTAAAATAACATATAGGTAAAAAGATTATCATTATTGGATGATCATTGGATAGTGAAATAATTGATTAAGTGATTAGTAATTATTATAACATAATTGAATAAAAATGAATCAAAGTCTTAGACTTTTATCTATATATATATATATATATATATATATATATATAAACTTTATGATTTTTTTTCAGTTTTTGCTTCTTTTATTTCAACTTCTTTTAATTATTTCTAATCCTAATATTCTCAATATTTAATTTTTTTTATCATTTAAGAAACAATAATAATAAATACTTGCGATATTATTTTTATAGAAACTACGAAGGCCTTAAATGCTCTATTTTATTACAATCAAAGTACACTTAATATGTTTCTTAAGAAATTATCAAATCACCATAAAACTCAATATGTTTAATTGAATATAATTACTACAAAAATATAAGTTTATCTAATTAAATATGTTGTTATATTATGAAAAAAAAATTACATTAGAGTAATTCTTCTGCAAGATAAATCAAGAATTAATAAAAAAATTTATATTAGTTATGTTGATCAATTTTAATTTGCACTGAAACTAACACTAAAAGGTTTGTTAGCATTTAAATTCATCAATTTTAAAGTATTTTTATTTTTTCTATTTTATTTTTTGTTTTATATTGTCAATTGGTCACGCTTAAACAGTAAAGTTACAACTATTTAATAACTTTATACATTACTTAGATAAGAATCGTCTACTTGTAACTTTTTCAATGTGTTGTTCTCAAAGGAAGCAAACAAAATTAGTTGAAATAATTGTTAATTTCTCTTATATGTAGAATATGTGCAAAGTATTGGGATTAATAAAAAAATATACATATGCATTTAAATATTACATAAGGTATTAAGTAAATAACTAAAATTTAAAAGTTTATAAATTGAATTCTTCAAATCCTAAATGGAAGATCACTGAAGAAAATGAAATGTCAAATAGATTCCTCCTAATTCATTAATACAGGAATCGAAAAAAAGAATTATGAATATAATAAACTTTACTTATTTTGAATTGATGCAAAATATGACTATTTTTTAGCTACTTTTTCTACGTAATAAATTAATATACTATTCATATAAGTTTTTCAATTATTTCATATATTTCATTTATTTAAATTTAATTTATTTCAGAATTGATTTCACTCTTTTAAGAACATTTATTTGTAGATAATATTCTTATATTAATTTTTAATTCATCATGAAGATTTGTATTTGATCAAGTTTCATATCAACTGATACAAATAAAATAGAACTAAAACAATTTTCACATTTTGCACTAGGTTTTGGGTTTAAATTTGGTCGAAAGTCCAAAATTTAAGATAATATTAGAGTTTATTATAGATCTTATTAGGTTACTCTTGACAAAAAAAAAATTTGACATGAATTTTTTCAAGTGCAATTAACTAAATCTAGATGTTTAATCTTGAATGTGAAGGAAGTATTGAGATCACACATTAAATTAGTATTATAACTTATCATAAATTCAATATTAAATTACACTTGACTAAAAAATATTTATTTGATCTCACAACTTTTAATTTTTTTATGAACTAAAATGCCATGACTTTTTACTATAATATTAAAAATAAATTAAATTTATAATTTTCGTGTTTCAATGTTCAATCTTAAGTTTGAAAGGATGTGTTAAACTCTTGCATTAACTATAAATATAATTAAAGTATAACTTATATAAGTTGAAGTATTCATCACCTTACGATCTAAGCAAAAAAATTAAGAGTATGTATAAAAAATATCATTCCATGCAAGTACTTTGAAGATAAAATATCATTTCATGCAAATACTTTAGAAGTTATTGAATTGTTAAGTGATTTTATTCTTTCATTAGTTCTAAGCACAAGAAAAAAAAAAGAAATATTTAAATTCAAAAAAATATTTAAGTACGGACATAATATGTTTTTTCAATGAAATTATAATTTTAGAAATGCATATCAATTTCCTAGTTTGTGTAATAAAATTAAATAATAAAAAAATATTTTTTTAGCATATCTTGAGCACACCATATAAATTTATATATGACAAATTTTTATTTAAAATCACATGATATCATTAAATTCAATGAATTAATAATATTAAATATTATAATCAATTCTATATTATAGATGAAAAAACTTTAAAAGTGTTTGGTGTGATTACTCTCTTTTATAGTTTATTACATTTATTTTTTAATATTATAATTGTCTAAAAATAACATGTGAATTACACTTTTCCTCACTTCAATAATTTTACATTTCATCCATTATTTTCTTAATTTTATTTTAAATTTTAAAGAAAAAGTTATTTTTTTATTATCTTTTATAGACTTTTAAATTTTCCGTGCATCTCTATGTTTACATTTATTAAAAAAATCTCTTATATAAACTTTTAATATTTTTAAAAATATTTTTATTATATAAAATTCATAATATTTAATATATTTTTATTATTTTAAAATTACTATAATTTTATTAATTTTTTTATCATTTTGATACATATTATTTATAGTTATATAATTAAGTTAAAATAATTTTTAAATAGTTATATATAAAATATTTGCGCATTGCTCAGTTACTAACTAGTTTTTAATAAAAATTTACTATTTATTAGCTCTTGGGCACATAGTAGAGAAATTATAAATGAATCAACTTTTATTTATATTATAAATAAGAGTATGGTATATTGTATGGAAAGTATTTGCGTTTAGTGAAGTGACTTAATTTTCTTTTATAACCTTATATAAATTTTTAAATCTTTTATGAATCCCTATATTTACATTTATAAAATTTATCTTATTGTCTAAATTTTTAAATTTTTTTTCAAGTATTTTGTTTATAAAGTTCATACTACTTGATATATTATTTTTATAATTTATATTTAAAAATTATTAAATATTTATCATTTTTTCTGTTTAAATATTTATCATATTGATTAATATTATTTGTAGTTATAAAATTATGTTAAATTATTTTTTAAAAATGTTAATGTTTCAAATAATTTCATCATCATCATCATAATTTAACAACTTCTGCAACGCATATGTATTTTATTTTAAAAGTAATAAATATATAATAAAAGTACTTCAAAAAAATTTATTTAAAGTTTATTTTAACTTAATTCTATAATTACGAATATTATGTACTAAAATGATAAAAATTTAAAATAATACTTTTATTGTATAATATTATAAAATTTTTAATTAAATGTCAATAATGGACATATCTAATGAAATACTACTCTTAGAAATAAACTTTAAATTTGGAAAAATAGACTTAAATATGATAATTTTATAAATGTAAAAATATGTATTTATGATAATTCTAAAAATTTAAATAATGTAGTAAAAAAATTAAATAGTAACTTTAATTTACAAAATTAATAACACAATTAACAAAAATATGACTAAAAAGTAAAATTATTGTAGAGTATAATTCATACATCATTCTTATTCAATTTCAATCCTAAAATATACACATATCAAATCGTGAGAGTAGCTTCATAAATGATTCATTAATTAAATTTTAATTATTAAATTATATATATTTATATAAAAATAAAATTTTAATTATTACTTACCAAGAAATGTTATTTGTGCAAGAAAATCACGAGGGCAAGTATTGGAGACAAGTATATTTCAAAATTAGATATGGTTCTTCATATCCAAGATTCCCATCTAAATTTATTTTAAAACAAACAATTTCTTATATCTTTGTGTTTTCCAATCACTATTAACAAAAGTTAATAACAAACTGCAAATTGTATTACCTCTAAAGAATACAATATTTAATAATTTTAAGCAATTATAATATTTATAGAATTAATCATTAGTTTTTATTTTATTTATATTAGTTTTTAATATTATTAAAATTACAATTTTTCTTTAAAATTTTAACATTATGCCATATACATATATTTAAGAAAAACATAAAAATTCCTAAAATACTTGAGACAGATGCATGAGTCACTAGATTATTATATATGCAGTACATGTTAAAAAATTAAAAAAAAAGAAATTTTTACTTAAAAAATTATAATATTCAATATTATCAATGTCTTCAATTTTTTAATATATTTTTATTTTAAATAAAATTTATTATATATAAAATTTTATCATTGTTTGACCTATGTGTATGAAAATGAATGATACGCGGCTAATTTATGAAAAGTGAAAAGAAAAACTATGTCATATTCAATGGAATTAAAAGATAATTTTTAAAGGAAAAAGAAAAAAGATTCATTGACGATTATAAGTCTGTCTTTTTGGAATATCACTTAAGGTTGAACTTATCTAATTTCATATTCAATCGAGGAAAATTATTCATATCTTTGTCTTTAGTCAAACTAGACTTTTCAATTTAAGGAAGCTCTCAAAGAAAGGCATTAAAAAGAAGAAAGAAATAACACTTTTTTGTATTAATTTTGATAAAAAATAATAATATTGATATTTGAATATAATTTAATCTTGTTATATTATTTATTTTGTTTGTCTCAAATATTAAACAGGATGACATAATATTATTTATTTTGCTATTCTAGTTATCTCACTCTTATATTTTATTATTTTTTATCTTATCATGTTTACCTGTTCATAAATCTAATACTCCAAAAAAAAAAAAGAAAAAAAAAGAACACCACGGTTATATTAATAACATCATAAAGATCTTACTTCTCGCTAAGAATCAAGATGGCAATAGGTTAATAAACTAAACCAAACGTATAAATGATAGTAAATGCTTCGCATTGAACAGATCTTGTTAAGGGTAAATAAATGTATTGAGGATTACCGAAAGAAAATTTCCAACACATTTAACTGTAGTTAAAATTGCCATCACCATCCTTCACACATACAAATATCAGCTAAATCAATCACATTTGTATTCATAGTTAATTTTTCATGCTATTTGGTACAAAGAAAGCAAATGCAGCACAATATTTTGCTGATCCTGACATGGTTCATTACTCAAGAGGCAATGAGCACACATTCTATATCTCTGCCAAAGCAACAATGGCAAATACAAACTAAACTTGGCATATCTGCTGCAGGTATAGCATCCCCTCCAACAAAACAACTGAAGCTAGCTAGTGGCACAAAACTAAGCTAATGGCTTAGGAGCAATAATGTCATCATGAAGTAACTCTTTCCTACTATGTATAGGTGAAAAACTTGACCATTCTACCAGAGTTACTTTGTCCAATCTTAGATAGACATGCCCTTTGGAACAATTTTGTCTTTGAACCACATGTAAATTGGCACAAGCACGAAGTAAGTGGCTGCTATTGCACCAAGAATGAACCGCGAAAGAAACACAAATGGATTTACAGGCTTCTTTACATCCTCTACCTTGGGACCAAGCTGCATAAAGGCGTACAAAACCATACTTCAAAAGTTGTACTAAAATTAAAACAGTGGAAAATAGAAGTAAAGTATAAATTTAGTGTCCATTGGATACAGGGCAAACTTGGGAAAATTAGACTAATAATGCATAACATTCCTTTCGTTCGGCTTCCCTTAATTCCCACTTTCTCCTTGCAATTGATGATCAATTAAACAAACTAATAGCTTAGCAACTCCATTATAAATTTTGTAACTCTTTACTCAAGGGATATAAGAAAATTGTCCTGTTTATTAATGGATAGTTATAATTGGCTTGTTTGGAAGTTATTTTAACTCATTTTGTACACTTTAGTTAGATTGTTATTTCACTTACCCGCTGCTTTTATATATATGGAGTTACTCTTGTAATCATATTATCAATTTGAATTCAATTTCTTATCTGACTTCATTTCCGTTTTCATCTTCTAATATAGTATAAAATCCTATCCAGTTTGAATATTAACTTCATGTATGAGATGTTCAGTCTTGGCTGTGAGGGGGGTGTTACGAATTTAAGATGTCCCACATCTTATAAGAATAGAGTCAGAGTACTGTTTATAAGACTTAGGTTAGACTAAGTTTACAAAGTAGGTCTATTAGTGTTGTTACCAATTAAAATTAGAGTTTTATTTTAGTAAATTTTACATTTAATGATATCACAGATTACTAAGGTAAAATCTAAATTTAATTGGTAAACACAACCCAAGTAATTGTACTAAAGTTTTGTCGTTTTCTTATGTCCTTTGACAAATTTTGCATCTCTCAAATTTCCCCATCATCCTATACACAGTTCGTGGATCCTTTTCATCAACCTAAAGCTACATAAGACCATCATAATTACTGCTATCACCTTCACCACCGCCACTTCAAGGAACAAGAGTACAACATCAATAACAATCAAGTCTTTAACTTATCAGGTGAGGTCAGTTATGTATCACACGACACCATTGAGCTTGGTCAAAAATCAAATTTTCAGAAATCTGGTTAATCAAAAAGTTTCTTTTAATAACTTCAAAGAACAAGAGTAATTAAAGTTTTTTAGTTTCCTTTTTCAGAAAAAAGATGACATATCAGAATTGGAGAGGTGAGAGAAGTAAAACCAAATTAATGTGGCCACAAGTCATGGATCTAATAGTTCTAATAGTAAAGGCGAGGAGTTTCATAGAAATAGGTCATTGTTATGGATTTAATGAAAAAGATGAAGAATACAACTGAGACAGCAACTATTTAGAAGTAATAAGTGATGTATGTAGGCTTAGTAACATGGAGGATACAAATATCAGTGTAATAAAAATAGCATTCCAACTACAAACTATAACAAAATGATGTATGTGACACAATGAAGTTAACTTGCTAAACTATTCTAACAGTAAGTCGATACACAGCAGTACTGACATCTCTGGAAAAAAAAAATTGAGAGGTAAGGGAGATTCAGGAAAACTTTGTGTGAGTAAACTGAAGGGAGGAACAAAGGCAAATCATCACTCCTGACACAGACTAGAACTAACTCCCAAATTCATCTAAAACTGTAACTGCAGATTCCATTCAGATTCCTAAACAGAATTTTAACAACTCACACCTCTACTTAAAATACCACTAAATTCTTTGTTTTGTCTGGATACAGTATACACATTAAATGTTAAAGTCAAAACATAAATTTAGTTGTCACAATTTTCTAAGAAAAGCAGAAATATTTGAAGGCACCAGTTTTGAGGGAGCAAAGTATCAATTTGTTATATTTAATGTAACAAATTAAACAACTTAGCAACAAAACCTGGCGTTATGTTGATTTGTACTTAAATGATAAGTTTTGGATATATAGTCAATAGCCATATGTTCCCAATAAATACCCTACCAAATAATATGAATCCTGTACTGGTATGACAGACTAGCTATTGTTTGTACTACAGTTTGGTGCACTTTCATTACATGTTCACAAAAAGAGCCTCACAGTTTGCGAATAGCAAGTATGCATTTGTTTTTGTATGACAAGCAAAAGCTGTAATCTTTTATGAATTTAAAGATAAAAAGGAGAAGAAAGAAAATTCATTACCTTGAGGGGAGAGTCTCCTGATAAAGGCTTCACACCTGTCACAGAACAACCCATGATCAGGCCATGCCTACGCACACCACGATACCATTTTGGACCAATCCTTTTCAGCTTAATGTCTTTGAAACCGGCCTTTTTAAACCATTCAATATACTCCTCCTCCTTGGGGAAGAGCATCCACGCATCTGCAAAGAACCGAGACAACCAAAATGTTGGGTATACAGGACCAATAACACAAGCTTTGCCTCCTATTTTCAGCACTCTGTATGCTTCCTTAATGCCACGCTGTGGGTCTGGCCAGTATTCAATACTGACAAACACAATGATATTTGATAAGTCACAACAATACACTTAGTTCTTCAACTAGTGAACCTCTCTACTCTTGTTTAGTCCCCGACTTCATAAAACTTTCACAGCTTGTAAATTGTTACAAAATGTCATTCATTTTTTTTTCCACTATATTTTTCACTGACATTAAAGACTAAAGTGAATGATATTTTGCTATATTTTATAAAGGTAGGTACCTAAGTAAAAGTTTGATACTTTTAGAGACTACAGTCATTGATGCTTACAATCTCACAGATCAAAGCAATGATCCTTCAGTCTAAGATTTCTTGTTCTAAAGTTTAGACTCACATCAATTGGGCATCCAGCTAATCCTATTACATAATGTTTAATCAAAACTATATCTCTATGCAAATTCAAATTTTCAAATTAATTAATCAGATAAGATTTTTTAATTTAAGGTCCAAATCTAAACCAGAGAACTCATAGATAGCCATAGCCTTAGCTCTGATAAATTTCCCAACTGCAGAACAGTAAGAGACAGAGGAGCATATATAATTTTGTCACCTTCCAGCAGAAACATATCTATCTGCATAATCAGTAGGAAAAGGAAGATCTTCTGCATCTCCTTCAATTATCTTGCACTCTTTCAAGGGTTTTTTCTGCTTAGCCTTGGCCAGCTGGTGAGGTGACTGGTCAAGAATTGTAACATTTTTGGCATCCACATGCTTCACTATGCCAAGAGTGGTGAAGCCAGTTCCTCCTCCAACATCCAACACTCTCATGTTACGGTCATAGAGATCAGCAGGCTCCAATGCCTCATCTCTCATATCTTCAGTCCAGTGACCAGGGTTTATGACATGATCATACACAATGGACAAAAACCTGTAGAACCAAAATGCTTCCTTCTTGTGTTGAATGAACCTAGGCTGAGAAGCAGGTCTAGAAGCTGAGATGCTACATGTGAGTGTCATGTTTCTTCTGACACCCTTTCTGAAGAAGCACTTGTTGTGAATGTTAAGACCTGCTGAGCCTAACCCGTGTGGAGCTATGCCATTAATGAGCTTTGGATTTTGAGCTCCATTGAGCATTAAGGAGGCCATCATGAACTAATATGAAAAAGTAAAGAAAGTTGAAGAAATGCTAATATAACAATTTGAATGAATGGAACATTTTGGATTCAGTGTGGAATTACAACAAAAGTGGAAACAAGCTGCTGATAGTTTATGTCATGAAAACAGGACAGGATCTATTGGAGTAAAGAGAGGAAGAAAGTTGGAAAAGGGTGGTAATGGTAAGTGGCGTTTGTGCGGTGAGAGATAAAGACAGAGATGGGTGGTGACACGTTTAACAAATGAATATGCACCACATAATCCTGGCAGTTGATGCCTGCCCGTTGAGGCCTTGCCATCACATGAATTGGCAGCGCTTTAGATTATCTTTAGTATTATAGTAGCACATACGGTAAGAAATTACTTTTATTCTGTGTGAACGAAGAAATTACTGTTTAACCAGTTAAAAAACCGTATCTTATTATTACTCAAATGTCGAGCCCAAAATTAACTTCCTAGTGTAGAGGAGAATGAATGCTATTTATGTTTTCTGGGATATAAATAGAAAAAAGTTTATTTTATTTTGTTCGGTTTTAATTCTGAACAAAGGTCGTGGGATGCAAGCTTAAAGTAGAAGTAAATAAAAAAAAATCACGCTTTAATTTAATTTATTCTATATCTTAATCTTAACCTTTTCGTTTTAATTTAGAGGCAACCTCCATTTAAATGAAGTTCATTATATGAGGACAAAATGAGCAAACTGCTTCAAATTTTTGTAAGGAAATATTATAAGTGCTTCCCTTTAATACGATGGCTAAGGTGGTGTCTAGAGATTGTTTCTTTGGAGGTATACGCATGGTAATGACCAATGGGAGTAAAATGGAATTGTTTATTAAAATAAATTTTAATTTTCAAAGTTTATGGAATGTTTTAGATAGGACCATAGGAAAAAAAAAAAAACTTAAAATAAAATTTGAGCCACAAGGGGGCAATCGAAAAACAAATTCTAGGAAAGAAATACGTGTATAAATATATTTTGCTGATGTATTGGAAACAAGGAAAACACTATTCAGTCCTTACACTTACAGAAGAGCTTGATATGATCATCAATTTATCACACAAGTTTGCGTATTTCCATATTCAGAACACCGTCAAATATGATTATTAAAGATAGGGTGGTGGAGGAGATTAAGGTCTCCTCGGCATTTCAGATGGTTTCGGCAGATTAAGGTCTCTGTATCTCTGCCTTCAAGAAAAGAAAACGCCATAGTATCTCAGGTAGAAGTTTCTGCAAATTTAAGTTTCCTGTATTTCAGATGGTTTTGGAACTTCCCTGAGCTGGACGGAGTTTTCAAAGCAGTGAAAGAAACCATAATGAGGGAATCTCTCATACCACGTATCTTGCATTACATGTGTATCCCAGTGTTCCCCACTGCTGCTCTTCCCATACTTGTGAACCCAACCAGAACTATTGTGTTGTTCGCCCCAAGTTCGGTTCCAGCGCTCTCCATGCTTACCTTCCCACCAGGTCTCACCCTGCTTCACACCAGTTCCATTTAGATCAAAATTTTCATCCCATTTGTCACCCCATTTCTCCCATCCACCATCCACTGAGCGTTCAGCCCATTTGTCAGTGTATTTTATGCTGCCACCATGCCCGTCATATGTTTCACCCCACCTGGAAAAGACAAGGCAAACCTAATAAAGAACGGACAAGAATGGAATATAAAGATGTACAAAATAAAAAATAATAATCCCTATTGCTTAAGATAAGTGGAAGTTCTATCACTAGCAATTTCTTTGTGAGAAAGCCATTTAGTTTCATCAAAATCTCAGGGAAGGTTGGGGCACAGGGTAGGCTTGGAACAAGTCCAAAGGAAAAGGAAAGGAAACTGGACAGAATTGAATGCAAGCAAAGAATAGAGGTTGCTCTGCTCATATTATAGCCTTTCACCTGTATCTCATATGAGAAAATCAAGCTCCAAGAATAAACCTAAACATATAATAAAGCTTAGAACGTCATATTTGAATAATACATATCAAATTTTATTAAATACTTTGACAAATTCATAGCTTAGAAAGAGTGACAATATGACCGAAAACATATTCCATGCTTAGAGGATTCAAGCTCATATTCTAATACAGTTTTCTTGCCAGTTACCTTTCATGCCAAACATGCGCGTGCCCAGGATCAAGGAGGGTGTTGGGATCAATACTACACCACTTGTGTGCCCACTTTTCTGCTTGACCAGACGCATTGTAGTGTTCCCACCATTTTTCATGCCACTCATTACCTTTACCATTACTTCCCCACTTGTCTGCAGTTTTCTCAATATGCATAAACCCATTTTCCTGCAAGCAACAATCATACTCAGTATGATTTTATTGAAATGGACGTATTTGTTTTCCAAGACTTTATGGTCAGAGCTAAAAGTGCTGAGGCTACAGGCACAGCTGATGCATTAATAGTTGGCAACGAACAATAATAACAGATTACACAACAACGTAAAAAGCAGGTGCCCAATTCCACAGCAGAATGGATGTGTCAACTTACAACGTAAAAATGACTACCAGAAATATGCTAATCCGATTTCAGTAAACTATATGACATTATAATAAGAAAGACACGTGAAAATTAAAATCTATCAAATTATGCTAACCTGGCGCATGGATTCTCTCCAAAATTCACGCCAAACATTTCCATTAGCATCACGTCCTGATTTCTCAGAACCAAGTTCCTTATAGCCAAACTCGTCAGAAGCCTCCCAGAACTTCTCTTGCCACTCAATAGCTTTGTCAGCACTAACACCTCTTGTCATTGTCCATCTGCAAATAACACCATCAGGTCTTCGCTCCATTCCTGTGTCTTTCCACCATCTCGATCCATCCGGATTAAATCCAATGGGTGATGATTGACTGGCCTCACTAAGGGCACGAGCTGCTTCAGCTGCATAGCCAGAAGATAATGCACCACGACTCTGTTCCTCTTCCAAGGAAGGTGACTCTAGACTGGAGGTGGAGGCTTCAACCTCTAAAGATGACTGCAAGGGTGGAAGAGTAGCACTGTGCTGGCTTTGAGGAAATAAACTCTCAAACGGAATAGAGAGATATTGTGGCAACCGTTCCTTCTCTGCAACAGGATTGGGCAAGTTTGAATTAACTGAAGATTTACGATCTAACTGCAACCCACCGGCGTTATCTGAAGGCACATCAACCGGGGGTGACCACGACCAAAAATCAGGGCCAGGTACACCATCTCTCCTAGTTCCTGACTCTGGCACGAGAATGCCCCCATTCTGCAATCCCATGCCCAAACCTGATTCTATCACATTATCAAAAACAAACAAAAGAATACATTGTCAATATATAAGAAATCAATACTAACTCTCTAAAGTATAATAACCATTCAGAAAGAAAACCGAATAATGAATTGATTTCTTATGGAATAAAAACCCACTCAACAATATAATCTTCAAAATTCACAAACGATGACTAGAAAATTTAATTTAAAAATAAAATAAAAAGACATCGAAATTTCAAAATAATAATAAAGTAAAGAAACAAAAGTATTGATCTCTTATTCTTTTAACAATTTTGCCAAAGAGTGCTCAGGAATACACAATAAAAAATGAGTCTTGTTAACCAGTGTCCTTAGGTAGTTAAGGAATTAAAATGATAAGATTTTATTGATAATTGTCATGGACTGCTATGAAAATCACAGGGAAAGTGTATTTCTTATATTTTTCAACAAAAATTTTCTATTGTGGGCACCGGTTAGCATTTGTTATAAAAATTAATAAATAGTAAGTTTTTAATAAAAATTATTATTAATGCATCTTTTATCAAAAAAAAGTCTTTCAATTACGTGATATTTTGTGATTTCTAATGAAAAATGGTCATAGATGGTTTCGGTTCCAGATACAAGTTAGAAAAAAGACAAAAAAAAAAAAAAAAAATTCTTTTAAACTTTTTCCGTTCTAGATTATCAAAAGAAAGCGTCGACAGTCACCAGTATTCCAACGTTACTGTGTCGAAGACGTAAAACAGCATTGCTCGTACCCTACCCCTATCTATCTATAGCCACAAATCACAATCTGCCGTTGCGATATTCAATTATCGAAAACAATTAGCCAAACGCAAACCCTACGAACGAAAGAAGGTTAAACTAATTGAGATTCATTCATTAAAAGGAAACTGAAACAGGTAAATAATTAAAATTTACCGGCTCGTTGATTAGTAGCAGTGTCGGAATCGGCGTCACTGCGTTCCTTAAGAATGGCCCTGGCGGCGGCGATTGCGGCTGCGGCGCGATCAATGACCTGCATCCTCTGAACCCTGTCGCGCTCTTCGGGGGAAACTTCGAGAAGCCTCTCGAAATCGGTGGTTTTCTTCTGGAAATCGTTCTCAACAGCGCCGTCAGAGTGATAGGCATGATCAGCGATTCTGCTGAACTCTGTGGTTTTTCTCTCTCTCTCCACCGCTTTCTTCCACATGTCAAGGTACGAGGATTCTCCTGCGCTCCCTCTCACTCTCACTGTCACACATCCTCGCTTTCCTCTTCCTTGCTGTTGAAGGAGGTGCACCCATCGGTACGGTGCACCCGCAGCGCAGGTTCCGAGATTCATGGAGACGCTGAGAGAAGAGTGAGATGGTGAAACTGAAAATGGCGGTGAACCGTTGAAGATATATACGGTGTTTGTTGGAATGGGGAAGGCTAAAATGTTCAGTGGCAATTCCGTAAGTGAGGGCAAACGTAGAGGGTTGTTTTATAATTCTCTTTTAGAAAAGGAAACCGACATTGTCTTGGAGTTCAAGGGAGGTACCAAGTTACTGTATTTTATTTAGTATGCTTTCTTACAAAGATCTTGTTTGCTTTATTTTTTTATCTCATTTTAGAAGAAAATGTTTGCTCATTTGTTTAATTTATTATTTTTAAAAGTTTAAAATAATATTAATTATATTTTTTTACCTTAGTTAAAAAATTAATTTCAAATTAACTAATTTAGTCATAGAGAAAATGTTAAAGGAATAAATAACAAAGAACTTAATTAATTGTGAAGGTATAAAAAATAAAATAAAATTTTAAAATAATTGAGATGTTTATTATATAAAAATTTATGTATCATAATTTTACAGAACAAACAAAAATACCTAGCCAAATCCTTGATCTTAGGCTTTTTGCTAAGCTACTTAACTATAAAAAGAAATTATATTTTTAAACATTAATTAAAATTTTAAACATAATCATCAAATGTGTTTTATATTAAATAATTTATATTTTAATACAATAAATATGTTATTTTAAATTAAAATTTTACTTTTATTTTTTAATGTAAGTTACAGACTCACAGAGTCAATTTTGTTAAAACATTTGAAAAAAATTGTAGGATGGTGCTATTATTCATGTATTCGGCTTCATGGTGAATAAACTAAAACAAGACTTTTTTGGATGACCACGACACTGCTCCAAAACATGAATACGCATCCCGATGTATTTTTACAATCATATACATCTCCAGCAAAATCACTATCTAAATAGGCTATGAGTTGCTTACAGCCCATTTCTTGTAGAGAATCTCCAAATTAGTTGTTTCCTTCGTATATTTTAGCAATCTTTTTGCTACCAACCAGTGTTGGTCTTTAGGACAAAACATGAACCTATTAATAAGACTCACACCATACATCAAATCAGGTTTGTTTGTAGTTAAATACATAAGGTTGTCAACCACCTGCTTGAACATACTTGCATCAACCTTAGCTCCGTTCTCGTCCTTTGACAATTTGCAGCATGGAACTATGGGGTTCTTCACTATGTTGCTTCTGTCCATGCCAAATCTTTCTAAAACTTCATGAGCATACTTTCTTTGACACACATAAATCTCATCAGAATTTTGTAGTACTTCAACCCCTAGAAAGTATTTCATCTTGCCCAATATCATCGACTTCTTAAACTCTTCAAATATGCTTTTATTATCATTTTCTGTAAAGATTAAATTATCAATATAAATAATGTGACATATTTTAGGTTTATATTTATAGTTTTATTTTAATTTATAAACACTTTTAATATGCTTTATTTTTATAGTTTTTACCATTTTCTATTTATTGAAATAAATTGGGCCTATTACAAATAAATGCTTTAATTTTATATTTTTCGATAATTCTGACATTTGACTACTCTTTTAGCCATAACTTGTTTTACAGATATCATTTTTGGCTGATTCCAGTTGTATTGGATTCTATACATCCAAGGCTTTAAAACACATATATGGATCGCTGGATTTGGAGTTGATTTCAATTTTTTATGAATTTTTGAAGTTGAGACAGATTTGCTAAATATTGTTGCGAGATTGCATTTGAACCCTTTGTAATTAGATAATTATATTTGGGCTTGTAGTTATAATTAAGGCCCGAATTTTGGCCATTTAGTTTGCCCTAATCAGAGCTTATAAATAGACTAATAAGGTTCTGATTTAAGAGATGAGATTAAACACTTGAGCTTTTAAGACTTGCCCAAAATAAGAATCCTTGTTTTTACTTTCTCTCGAACTCTCGTTCTATTCTCATTCTTGCGTGGGTTAAGTGTTTCGATGGAAGGCTAAATCTCTTGTTCAATCCACGAAATCCAAATGTTGTAATTCTGACTTAAGTTCTGAGCTAAATTACTTCAAGTTTGTTCTCTTTTTCTCTCTAATCTCAAAATTGTGTATTGCGATTGTGATTAACTTTTCTGGTGTTAGAATTCAAATTAGGACTCGATTGATGCTCTAATTTGATAATTAATACAAATTAGGTTAAATGATTATTTGATTTAATTCATAACTCTGTTCAATTAGGTTATTCAATTGAATTAATAATTGAATTGGATGATTGTTCAAACGCGAATTTAAATCTTTAGATACTGTAATAGTCAGAGTTATACGCATTTGGTATTCTATGGATTGATGTTTCTTAATTCATCTTTACACAATTTTATTATGTTCATAATTTAATTCAATTAATTTTCAATTTTCAAAACTCCAAAAATCTTATTTTCATTTTTTAAAAGAAAACTTTAAATTGAATTTGATTGAGAATGTGTCTCTGTGAATCGACCTAGGTTTAGCTCTATATTACAAAATCTTTAAAAAAACTTAGTTGTTTTGATAGCGACTTGGCATCGTCTATCAATAAAGACTAATAATTAAAATTTTATTTCCTTCCTTTGAATTTGTAAAAAGGGTGTGTTCATATTGATACTTTTCAAAGCCTTCTTTGGTAAAATACGACTCAATCTTGTTGTATCAAGCTCGTGGAGCTTGTTCGAGACCATACAACATCTTATTTAGCTTATAAACCTTGTGCTCCTCCCCTTTCTTTTCATGTCCTTGAGGCTATTGAACACTTCCTCATTAAGTTTACCATACAGAAATGCGCTTTTTACATCAAGCTGAAAAATACTCCAACCTTCTTAAGCTACAAGGGCAATTACCAAACATATGGTATCTAGTCTTGAAACTGGAGCATTAACCTCTATGTAATCAATCCCATATTGTTGTTTATATCCCTTTATTACAAGTCTAGCCTTGCACTTATCTATCTTACCATTTTCGTTGAGTTTTGTTTTAAAAATCCATTTAACTCCAATGGTTTTCACTCCTTCAAGTAGAATAGTCAACTCCCATGTTTTATTACGTTCAATGGTCTCGATCTCTGCATTCATGGCATCTCTCCATTTCTTGCGCTTCACAACTTCTTCGAAAGTAACAAGATTAGCTTCTATGAGAACTGTCATCGCACTCAAGTCTTTTTCTTCTAACAAACCTTCTCTAGTTTCATAATCTTGCATCCAACATGGAACTAGTCTTGCCCAACCTTCGGCTGGACCCAAAGAAGTCTCATCATATAACCCGCTAAAAGTTAAAGGTGAGCTAATGCCACTTAAACCAACTCTATTTATGCCATTTGAATCAGCTTCTTTATTCACGTTAATTTATGTTCCAGATTCCCTTTCATTCTCTGCTTCATCACCTTCCTTACTATCACCCCATTCTAACACATTGTCCTCAAAGACAATGTCCCTACTAACAATTATCTTCTTAGAGACTGGATCAAACAAGCTATAGGCTTTTGAGTCATCACTTACTTTTAAGAAAACACATTGAATGCTTTGTCATCTAACTTGCTCATTTTATTTATCTAGTATGTAGACATGAGCCAAGCACCTACAAACCCTGAAATACTTGACTATAGGCTTTATTCCACTTCAAGCTTCCTCTGGAGTTCTATTTTGTACAGCAAAAGTAGGACACCTGTTAAGAACATGCACACACCATCTCACAAGTTTTTGCCAGAAAGCCTTTGGAACCTGCTTCTTAATGAGCATACAACGCACCAAATTCATCATACTTCTATTCTTCCTCTTCAAAACTCCATTTTGTTGAAGAGTATAGTTTGTGGTTAATTGTCTGGTTATGCTATTTGTCTTGCAAAACTCCCTAAACTCATTTGAGATGAACTCACCACCTCTGCCAGACCTCAAATATTTAAGGTAGGCACCTTTTTTTTTTTTCAACATAAGCCTTTATAACTTCTAAACATGGTAAAAGCCTCTGATTTTTCATGTAAGTAAATTCAAGTCTTACTACTATAATCATCAATAAAACTCAAGAAGTACCTCTTAGTATTGTTTGATGCAAGCTTTATAGGATCACATATATTGGTATTCACTAGTTCTAGCTTCTGTGATGCCCTCCATAGACTTCTTATTGAAATGGATTCCCTATGCTACTTTCCAACCAAACACGTTGTGCATAACTTTGCAGGAGTTTTAAAAGAAGACTAGTCACTAACCATCTTTTTATATTGTAGGGTTCTCAACTCTCAACTATTCAAATCTGCAATGTCATAAATAACTCTTTTTTTTTGTCACAACTTGAAAACAAGCAGTGGCTTTGGGCATCATCGCTACAAGCATAATAAACATCATGTTTGCACTCATCTCGCACTAAATAATTAGACCCTTTCTAGGATGAAAAATTTTGCACATCCCATGTTGAATCAAAATTGCCACACTATTTTCTTGAAGTTGCCACATACTTAACAGGTTATTTTTCAACTCAAGAATGTAATAAAGTCAGAAATTACCTAAGTGATGCCATTCACTTACATTTGAACATTTCCTTTCCCACAATTGCCATCCTTGAGTTATTTCCTAGTTTCACAGTCTACTTGAATTGAACATCCAAATCTGAGAACCATTCTTTATTCCCACTCATGATTTCTACATCGTGAATCATAGAACCAGACTTCTTCTCTGAGCATGGTTATGTTCTGCATAGGACATTAACAGCAGTTCTTCTCCTTCATCTAGTTCAGCATAGTTGGCTCCATTTTCCTAATTGGGACACTCATACTAGAAGTGTTGTAATTTATGAAACTTAAAGCATTTGATAGTAGCTATGTTGAAAGCCTATTTGTCACGACCTATTCCTCTTTCTCTGAACAATCTTCAACCTCTTTCTCTGCTAGTGTTGTCATCATGAGTGATCTTAAGAACTTGTTCCTCTCCACAATCATTCATTCTTTGTTCATGGACTAACAAGCTGCTCTACAGCTCGTCAATGGTCATTGTGTCAAAAACATTGGATTCTTAAATAGAGCATATTACATAATCAAATTTTGAAGTCATTGACCTCAAAACCTTCTCATTGATAATAGTTTGGCTCATTGTCTCACCATAAGTCTTCATTTTGTTAGCTATAGTGAGCTCACGAGCAAAGAAATTGTCAACAGTCTCACCATCTTTCATATGTAAAATCTCAAAGTCCCTCTGAAGTGCTTGCAATTGTGCCCCCTTTACCTTGGTAGAGCCTTGGTATTTCTATTTATAAAGTCCCAAATACCATTTGATGTGTCTTTTTCAAGTATAATCTCTAAGATATTCCAGTCTATAGCTTGAAAAAAAGTAATTCTTTACCTTCAAGTCTTTCAACTTCTATCTCTCGATCAATTTGCATTGTGCTTCTGCCTAGTTCTCAACCCTTTATGTCACCACCCCTGAAATCCTATTCTCTATGAGATCTGAATACTCCTTGGAATGGAGAAAGTTCTTCATCAACATTGCCCAATGATCATAATGTCCATTAAACTTGGGAATGGCCAGTTGCTCAAAACTACTATCATTGATCTTTGTCATTTTACTTGCTCCTTTACTTCTGGAAAAAGTTGCAGTTTTCTTCCACATATATACACTCACAATTGGGCTTGTGTGATGGGGCTCTGATACTAAATGTTAAGAACACTTAGAACAAATTATATAACACAAGGTTTGAATAAAAGGTGTATTTTATTGAAAACAAATTGTAGGCATGTATAGTCCTTTATAAGGAGATAAGATCAAATTAACAACCTACATTTATAACATCCTAAAACATGGTATGAGATTAATAAGAAAACTATCAAAGAAAATTTAGCCACTAATCCCTAAATAATAGGATTTATTAACAAACTAAAATAACTAAAAGATTAGATCTATCAATTTTATTATGTTATTATTTTTTAGCCATATAACTTTCATATACCAGATATGTAAAATTGTTTTTATTTAAAATAATAATGATTTTTCACAAAAATAATAGGCAAAACTCTGCTTGCAAAGAAAATTTTTGATTTGATACATACAACTCTATGGCAGTTAATGTCACCTATTAAACTCTCAAGCTGCTTGATTTGTTGCACGTTCAAAACTAACTAAAAATTGTTGAAGGTTACCTATTGTATGGTAAATATGTAAGAATAAAATTTTCATGAATCTAATTATATGAATTTAAAATACTAATTGTAGATCAATTGTAAAGTCACTTACTCATAATAGACATTGTGAATTGTACAATAAAACACTTACATGAGGTACATATCTTTCATGAGTGAGAAGTCAAAATCTTCCTTTACTTAATCA